GGAATCCCTGGCTGTGTTTATCACCACAGATAGCAATGCTGTCACCTCTCCTGGCTGCAGGCACAGCCTTTGCATCCAACATAGAAGTTGGCTCAGGGGAGGATAAGGAGGAATCAGGAATTCGATTTATGGGGATATAAATTTCTTTTACACCCGATTTTCCTTTATGCATTGACTAAATGAAAATAATTAAAGTTAAATCTGTTTTGGGGAGGAAGTGAGAAGCAGCATGTGAGGCTGAACTCTGAGCTCCTTCTTCACATGTATTTACCTTGCAGGTGTTTGCAAATGGAAACAGAAAGTGCTTATGACTTGACTTGACAGTTTTCTAAAGGGCTGCAAAAGGTACCAGGAGAAGAGAGCAAAGATCAAACCAGAAAACAGTTTCAATAACTGTGTGTACATAAAATTAAACACACTTATTTGCAGTTAGCCAGAGTGGAAAAGCTGTTTTCTGTTTCCCAGGGGCAAAGCTGGTGCCAGAGTCACCTATGGGAGATCCAGGTGAGAAACCAGGTGAGGAGTTGGTGCTCTCTCCCCCAGAGCACCTGGAGCTGCTCGTGTGTGTGTGTGTGACTGTGCTGTGTGTTACTCTGTGCTGCTCCATGTGCCTCTCCAACGTGTGCCTGGGTGTGATCCCAGGAGCAGCACAGCCTTCCTGCCATCAGCAGCTGACCTCCTCCTCCTCCTCCTCCTCCTCCTCCTGTGAACCCCAGGCTGCCCCTGGAATGCTATTGATCCGAGGCATTACTCAGCAGCCTTTGCCATTGAAGGCAGCGCTTTCCCAGCTCCCGACACGTACCTCCGATCCCAGCCTTTCAGGGAGCACACACTCCCCACCTGCTCATCTGGGAGAAGGTCATTATCCTCAGGCTATTCACTGCCAGTGGAGCGTGCAAGAATAGCTGCTTCTCCCATTGTGCTGCACATCCCCAGGATTGGCTGTGGAGTGTGGGAAACGCCGCTGAGCCGCAGACCCACACACTGCCCTGGGCTGGCACCCTATAAATAGTGGGCAGAGGCAGCTTCCAGCAGCACGTTCCTCTTGGATTCCACTCTGAGCTCTCCCTTCCCTTCTCAGGACAGATGGCTCCCAGCACCGTTTTCCTGGAGCCTGACAACCTGCTGACACCAAAGGAGAAAAATAAAGTAAGTCCAGGCAGAGCTCTGGGCTGCCCTCGGAGCAGTTTGCAGCAGCTGAGAACTTGCCCCACGCTGTTTAGGAGCAGTGATGGGTGGCAAACAGCCCTGTGGAGCAGCAGGGAGAGGAGCCTTTAATAACTGGTCTCTTTTCCTTTGCCTTTCACAGCTGAGGAAACCAGTGGTGGAGAAAATGCGGCGGGACAGGATTAACAGCAGCATCGAGCAGCTGAAACTGCTCCTGGAGAAGGAGTTCCAGAGGCACCAGCCCAACTCCAAGCTGGAGAAGGCTGACATCCTGGAGATGACTGTCAGCTACCTGAAGCAGCAGAGCCAGCTGCAGATGAAGAGTGAGTATTGAACTTTGTTTCAGTCTCCAGCTCACTGCAAACCTGTGGCAGTTATGTGAACCTTGAGCCATGAACAACTGCTCTAAACTATTCCTTCTTCTCCCTCTTCTCTTCCTTTCTCTAGCTGCAGGATCCTTCCATAAAAGCTCCCAGTTTGACTTCAGAGAGGGCTATTCCAGGTGTTTGCAAGAAGCTTTCCATTTCCTCTCTCTCCACAAAGTCCGAACTGAAACACAGACCAAACTTTTAAGCCACTTCCAGAAGAACCAGTCAGCTGCTCCAGAGGTGTCCTTCTCCCCTGGGAATGCTGGAGCCCTGAAGCAAGTGTCTCCAAAGGACACCAGCCCTCTCTGGAGGCCCTGGTAGTCAGGGAGTCCTCACTGCACGGACCTGTGACAGTCCAGAGGAAGGATCTGACTGCATCGGATAGTCCAGCTCTGGTCCTCTCTGCTGTAGGGAATTTTCTTTCCCCCTGTATTTTATTTATGTGTGAAAAGAATGGCAAACTTTTGACTTCTTTTGACATCCTTTGGCAAAAGTTGAGGCATTCTGTTTAGTGTTGAGGCTGTGTAGGCACTGCTGCAGTGCTGCCCGGGCAGGGGCAATGTCTTCAGAATGAAGGAGAGTGTTTCTGTAAGTGCTGTGGGTGTGATGGGCAGGAATTGCTGTAGGAGAGACTTCTCTGACATTCCTTGTAAGAGCCATCAGCTTTGCTCTGGTTTGACTAGCGACTCTGGTTGGCTCAGTCACTCTGGAGGATAAATTTATTCCCTTTGGTTCATGCACACTTGGCTAAAATCAGTTTCCTTCTGTTTGCTTATAACTTGTACAGCATCAAAAATGGGTTTGGCTTTGGTTTTGATTCCTCCCCCATAGCCTTTTCATATTCCTGTATTTACAGTCTGAGGGATGAGCAGGAGTTAGAAAACTATGTGGAATATTTCTACTATTTGATGCTTTTTTCAATTTAGAAAAAGAGTATGTTATTGCTTTATGTTAAAGAAAAGGTAGTAGGTACCAGGCTCGATTTGTCAATGTTATACATTTTGGGTGTAAGCTATGCTTTTTCTAGCATTTTCATTACAATAATGATTTTTGTCTGTATTGAGTGGTTGAATTCCTGGTGGATGGTGTTTCTCCCAGTGCTGGGACTGCCCTATGGCTCACCTGCATACTGTGTATGCATCTCTGTGTGTAGAGAGCAATAAAATGCATTTGTGTGCAACTTCTGTCTGCTTCTCTCCCTCTGAGGGATGTGCAGCCACCTGCACCCCTGAGAAAGGTTAATGCCAGTCTTCTGAAGGAATGGGAGTTTTTGGAAAGCTCAGGGAGCTCACAGTTGTGTCTCCTCTGTATATCCTCTGACTCCCACCACGTGAGACAGCCCTAACCCCAAGGGATAAACAAGTGCTCCCATCACATAGATTCCCTCAGCTGAATCCTGTGGAGCCTTTCCTTAGTCACTGTCCCTGCTGTCCACACAAACTCCCCACATGAGCAGTTCAGCTGACTGGGGCTGCTGCTGTGCTTGCCCTGAGCTGTTGAGGTGTCATTGGAATTTTGAAATGCTAATAACTGAGTTTTTCCCCTCTGCAGTCAAATGCTTTTGCTACAGCGACTTTGAACGGCTGTGGGCTGAGAACACAATCCCTGACACTGCAGTTGAGCTGCTTTTAGCTGGTGACCATCATAAGCAGCCCCTGAGCTCACAGATCTGCTTGGCTGCACCCTGGGAGATCACTGCAGGAAACACTGCCCACTCGTTCTGAAATGAGCACAGTGCTGCCCTGTGGGGTTTTGATTTGCTTCGAAAAGACAGGGGGAAAAATCTGCATTTACATAAACTGCTTCCCTGCAGCACTCGAGGAACACTGACCCACATCAGCAGCAGTTTTAATACTCGTGGCAACAGCTGGTTTTCAATCCTGTCTGTGCTTTTGGTAATGCAAACATCTGCTGGGGAGTCAGAGCTGAACTGGGTCACACAGTGCTGGAGGTGCAGGAGGAACTGGGACCAGGCACAGCAGACTGGGCAGCTTGGTTTGGGGTCAGGTAGTGCCAGTCAGGCATCCCTGGTGTCCTTCTTCACCAGTGAGGTGTCTGCTGGTTAGTCCTGCACGTGTGTGAGCAGGATTTCATGGACAGAGACACAAATGTGGCCCCTAAGCTGCATTTTGAGGGGTTTCTGCCAGGATTTGAGGGGTTTGTGCAGGATTCATGGGGTGGGTTTGTTTGCCAGGTTTTGAGGTGCTTGTGCCAGGATTTGAGGGGTTTGTTCCAGGTTTTCGGGGGTGGATTTTTCAGGTTTTGAGGGACTGGTTTGCCAGGGTTTGAGGGGTTTGTGCCTGATTTTGAAGGGTTGGTTTGCCAGGATTTGAGGGGTTTGTGCCCGATTTTGAAGGGTTGGTTTGCCAGGATTTGAGGTGTTTGTGCCCGATTTTGAAGGGTTGGTTTGCCAGGATTTGAGGTGTTTGTGCCCGATTTTGAAGGGTTGGTTTGCCAGGATTTGAGGTGTTTGTGCCCGATTTTGAAGGGTTGGTTTGCCAGGATTTGAGGTGTTTGTGCCCGATTTTGAAGGGTTGGTTTGCCAGGATTTGAGGTGTTTGTGCCCGATTTTGAAGGGTTGGTTTGCCAGGATTTGAGGTGTTTGTGCCCGATTTTGAAGGGTTGGTTTGCCAGGATTTGAGGTGTTTGTGCCCGATTTTGAAGGGTTGGTTTGCCAGGATTTGAGGTGTTTGTGCCCGATTTTGGTTTGCAGGAATTTGAGGGGTTGGTTCCAGGTTTTCAGGGTGGATTTTTCAGGTTTTGAGGGACTGGTTTGCCAGGATTTGAGGGGTTTGTGCCCAATTTTGAAGGGCTTGTTTGCCAGGTTCTGAGGTGCTTGTTCCAGGATTTGAGGGTTTTGTTCCAGATTTTGAGGGGTTGGTTTAGCAGGACTTGAGGGGTTTGTGCCAGGTTTTCAGGGGTTGGTTTAGCAGGAGTTGAGGGGTTTGTCCCAGGTTTTCAGGGGTGGGTTCAGTAGGAATTGAGGGGTTTGTCCCAGGTTTTCAGGGGTGGGTTCAGGAGGATTTGGGGGGTTTGGGCCAGGTT